TCTCACAGCATATTGTGAAATTAATATAACTGACATTGGATTGTACAGAGATGATGGACTTATGGTTATAAAGAACTCTACAAACTTTAAAATCAATAAAATTAAAAAGCTATTATATAGAGAATTTAAATGCCTGAACTTAAAAATTACTGTTAGCACTAAATTGAAAAAGATGAATTTTCTTGATATAACATTAGATTTAATGAAAAATGTAAACATACCTTATAAAAAACCCAATACTAAACCTTTGTATATACACCCTAAATCTAATCATCCTCCATCTATAATTAAGCATATACCTTTATCTATCGAAAAGAGAATAAGTACAAATTAAGCAAATGAGAAGATTTTCTATGAACATATTAATTTCTATAATAAAGCTCTAACAGATAGTTTTGGGCTTTTGTAGCCACTAACTTATATAAAAAATGAAAATGGAAAGCATAGAAAAAACAGAAGTAGAAAAATAATTTGGTATACACCCCCATACAACCAAATGGTACAGAACAAATTAGGGAAAAAATTCCTTGCATTAATCGTTAAACATTTTCCTAAATATAGTAAATTGAGTACTATTTTCAATAAAAATACCCTAAAATTAAGTTACAGTTTTACTGAAAACTTAGAAATAATTATTAAGAAACATAATGCTAATATCTTGAGTAAACACTTAGACCAAGACCAAAGAAATTTAGACAGTATAATAATAAAAGATGAAGATAAACAAAAATTATGTAACTGCTGAAATCCTCATAAATGTCCTCCTAATAATAAATGTTGCACTGAATCATTAGTGTACCAATGCAATATCTCATCTATTGAAGAGCCAGACAATGTAAAAGTCTACATTGGATTCACAAGACATAAATTCAAGCAATGTTTCAACCAACATCAAAGTTCTTTTAGGATAAATAAATACCGAAATCAGACATCCCTATCAAAATATTTCTGGCATTTAAAAGAAACCAATAAAACACCTACTGTGAAATGGATATTAATAAGAAAAGCCAAAATATGTAGGTCATTAAATGACCCATGTCCTTTGTGCATACATAAGAAACTACACATTATTAGGTTTATAAAAAATAAAAATTTACTGAATCAAAGAAATGAAATAGCTATTCTTTGCTGACATTGTCAAAGATTTTCCTTAAATAATGTTAAAAATAAGCTGATAAATGAAATATACATATTTATATTTGATATTTTAATAATAATTTTTAAATAATTATAGTAATTCTATTACATTTATTTGTTTTAAAAGTAGTATAGTCTATTAGTAATTAGAATTAGGAATAATATTTTAAAATTGTAGTTTAATATGACGTACTCATATTCAAACCACCCTTTTAGAAAAAAATATATATACAATTACAAATTTAACAGCAAAACAAAAGTGCCGAAAAACTTTTTGCCGTTGATAAAGACCAGACGTCATCATTTGTTGAACAGGCACTCCTATCCTACCTTAACCTAACCTCTTTTCGAAAGTAACTAATATTTTGATACAATAGTTGTCAGTGAAAATGAATACCCTAACCCCTTGTCAAAATGATTGAATTTCCCCGTATCCTTAGAAACTAATATTATGAATTGTATGTGCTTATAAAACTCAGTAAATTTCAAAATAAGTTATTCCAAAATTTGCTTCAAAATGAAACAGGACTAGGGACTTTGATTTAATTCTATAATTGAATTTGAAGTTTTCAGTTTCTGTTTTTGAAACATGGTAATTCCTGTGTAGTGATGGGATCATATTTTTAATTTAGTAAATTTATAATATTTATGCTTTGTAGATTTGTATTGAACACTGTTTTTTAAAAATAAAAATATATAATACGAACACCGGATTATATATCTTACTGTACTTTCTCTTTATTATAACATATATATGTATATATATATATATATATTTTTAAGGAACAACCAAAATGAAGGATGAAATTTTTATATGTTAAATCAAGGGTCAGTAATCCTTGACTCCCAGGCCTGGTCCATGAATAATTTTTGTCTGGCCCGACAAATTAACCATACTAAGGAATTTGCATTTTGTGTTGATTGTGTCAGTTGTTATCCTGTTATACCTGTAGTAAAATAAAGAACCTAGTTTAAATGACATTAACTTGTTTTTTTCTTTAAACCTTCAGACTGAGACAGCCTTCTGGTCAGAGGTCAAGACAATTTATTATAGTATATCTGATATCATGGCCCTCCTCCAAGACACCGCACAGCTGTCTGCCAACTTGTGTGTTAAATAGAGTAACAGAAAAAAAAAAAAAAATCTGTATTTCCAAGTTACTTTAACATTCACAACTTTGGTTAAATTTCCCAATTAAGAGTATGAGTAAATGATTTAATGGAATCAACAGCCACATGTCTATGACCAAAGCAAATCTTCAAGTTGGAAGACATCAGCTGTGGTTTGACCTAGAGAGGGATGGACTCCGCCAGGTCTATTTGCCCCTCTGCATGAATAAATACCTCTCCAACTTTCAACCCATATATATGAAGGGAAATGGTTAGGTGCTCAGCTACACAGCAACCATACAACCACACCTGGTCATGGGACTAATAATAATAATGATGATGATGATAATAAACTATACTCAAAACTTGTATTTTATCTTGTTTGTACAAATCCAAAAATATCATTGAAAACAAAACTCAAGATACTCCCCCTAAAGACAAGCTGTAGTTAAAATTGATCTCTGAACTTCAACAAACTACTAAAAACTGACTATTGTGATTTAGTGTGATCATGAAAGATTTTAGCAATTATGTGCAATTTGTATTATTTTTTCTTCAATTCCAAACCAAACCAAACCATTTAATTAACACCATAATTGTCAAACAATTATAGAAGCAACACCTCATAAATACATTAACAGAATTAATGTTCCCAATGTTTTCATTATCAAATCCCCATTTGACAAATGAAGTGTACAACATTACAGGTATTGGCCACATTACATCATAATAAAGTTTGTGAATTAAACACATCTTTGAATAAAGTACATGATACCCACCCAGTCATCCCCCAGGATATATAATCTAATGCATATTAAGTTACATGTTGACACAGTTTGAAAATTAGTGATATGCTTTTTGCATTATCATATGATTATATTATCATGCAAAAATTTAACTCTGAATAGGGTAGTAAAAGAAATCCGAAGGAATAGCAGTGGATGTCTTTCAGAAACCAAAAGTATTAAGTGATAGGAAAATGTCCTTAGAAACAAAGAAAAGAGTGCTCAATATAAATATGTAATATCTAAACATCTCTATGGTATTGAATACTGGGCAGTCTAAGTAACAGATGAAGAAGTGAGTTTAAGTAACAGATGTGATTCTTCCAATGAATGCTGTGAATATCATGGACAGAACACATGAGCTATGAGGAAGTCCAAGGAAATTGATACTTACAATCAGAAAGAGAGCCTGGAGAATTTAACACACAGAGGACATAATGAAGAAAAGAGAAATGAAGGGGGTGAGTAACCTTCTTAATGAGTGTGTGACTGAATGTATGGTAAAACTATGTCAAAGGGTGGTAGACTCAAAAGTTATTTAAAGCAAGAAAAGACAGGAAGTTGTGGAGTACCATGATTACACACATCCTAAAAGGACATAGCAAATAAAAAAACCTCAAGTCTAAATAATGCATATGATGTTAGGCGAAAATGACACCTATGTTAGATATTCTAAATAAAAAGAAAAGAAGTATTCTAAACTGGACTTGCCAAATGAAAACTAAAATAAGAATCAGTTAACTCATTGATTTTTACTTATTGTTCCTTAAAAAGTTTTGAAGCAAGTCTCAACTGTCATTTAATTTCATTATTCTTATTAACTCCTTCAAAGTTGACTAAGAAGATAACAGCTTTTTGCTGTTACTGCTTTGAATGGATTGCTAAAGATCTCATAGAGCACCAAACTTTTCCCTTAATTATTACAACATACCAATGAAGGGACATTATGTAAAGATATCTGGTAATAGTACAGCGCAGGAGTAGAGTCATACCATTTCCAAAGCATGGTTAGAAGTGAATATCAGCAACTTCAGCTGATATTCAAACTTAGTTCATCAATTTCATTTTTTTTCAAATACTTTTTATTTCTCTTTCTTTTTTTAATTTATTATTATTGTCATGGGTCCTTACCTATAACTACAGAATGAACTCTTCCTAACACTATGTATACTACGCCTCTCAAGAGAGAGGGACGAATTGAGTCGAGCTGATAGTAGTTCACTCCAAACCAGACTGACAGTCATACTAACACCTTCCACATCTTGTATTATTATTTCGTATAATATACCTTCGTTATTTCTACTCTTGTGTTCTTGTTCTCCCTTGGTCCTAACCTGGACCATAACAATTATGAACCTTATAAGCATAACACAGGCTCAGATTAGTCCCAAAATTAAGCATATTTTAAGCATAAAATAAGGTTCAATTTTTTTTTTATGCAATTTTATGGAGCATGAAGTTCAGATTGTTTTGAGATAAATAAAATTTCACCCTTCTCAAATTTTGAAATAAATTTTGTTTTGCAATAAATCCTAGCTTTGTACTTAGAAATTTGAATTTACTCTTAAATACACTGTGACGAAAGCAGATAGTTTAAACATGCCTACACGCATCTATTAAGGTTAATTTCCACCTAGCAACAGAATAAAGGTCACGTGGGAGTCTTATGACATTTTGGGAAGGCAGGTCAAAAGGTTGACTGACCCAATTACCCGTAGTGACAAATGTCTAGACAGAAGCTAGACAGGGGGCTGATGTAAGCTGGAATTCGTGCCAAAACTTAAGACACGTGATAGTCAGAGATTCACTCGAGAATCAGTTGCTATCTTGACTTTGAAGAGGCAAGACCTGAAGTCGAAGCGCTGATAGTTTATGAACGGAAAGATAAGACTCATTTGATAGTGATGGAACTTATCTAGTTCAACCCAGGCAACTCCAGACAAGAAATATAACAAGAAGTATTGCTGTTCAAGAACCCCAAATTGAAGATGCAGAGAAATTTATATGCTGAGGATTCAGCCTGTGTTTAAAGAAAAAGGAAAACCAGAGAAGAAAGTGTATACCTCTGTTATAAGCTGAATTGTGTAAAGAAAAAGAAGGAAAGAAAGAAGAAAACCAAAGAGAGGAAGAAAGTGTATATCCCTGTTGCAGTGAGTCAGGTTTGGAAACTGAACTGTCTACAGAAGAAAAAGGAAGGAAAGAAAAAGGAAAAACAAAGAGAGGAAGAAAGTGTATACCTCTGTTACAGCAGGACAGTGTGTGAAATTGTGTTTGTGTCGAGAAAAGAAAAGAAAGGACAATGATAAAAAAAAGAAAACTGAATATAAAAGATAAGTAATCATATTTTGGACCCGTAGTAGAAAGATATACATACATCCATGAATATTATGTTCTTGCAAACAACTTTCCACATGTCAAAATAATAATTGTAACTCCTATCCCATCTCTTTTGTGTATGTGTTGGCTTCTGCATTCAATTCATAGTAATTCATACTTATATTTTTGTATGTTCGGGTTCAGTTGAATCCATTTGGAGTTAGGCGAATTTTTATATCCTGACGTAAGTTTTGAGATCTGGTCGTCGGATGTTTTAACTCATACTTATCTGTTCTTTTATTTTGATATTTGTATATTTGTACACATTAAAATTCTTGTATCAAAAATCGCTAAGCCTTCTCGTTCATCCTTGTATTGTGGATCAGTATTCGTGTTGAAAACGAAGCAAACCTGGGAAAGATTACTGTTCGATTATCCCAACCGAACAGTGGTCTTAAAAATATTTTTTGTTTACCAATTGTCCATTGTCACGATCTGGGAGAGATAGCTTGTATCTCTCCACGGGTGTGAGAATGTATATATCTCCTAGTCGGCATATGATTGCCTTATAAACCCATTCGTCGACTGGGGCATATGACAACACTTAATAACAAAGAGATGGTTCATACAGAATAACAATTACTGAACTAAACAGAACTTGAAATTTTAGAATTTGCAAATTTTAAATGAGAAATAAAGCTCAAATTTGTAAACAATTTGTTAAGAATGACCAAACTCAGCTAAAATCACCTAAGAAAAAAAAAGAAAGAAAAACACACACACACATTGTAACCATTACAAATCATTCTTCTTAGTGATATATAGCATTACTGTATAGACATTTGTTAGATTGAAAGACAGTGGAATTCATTAAATTCCCATAGATGAATAAATTCACAAGCAATAGCTTACAAGATTATCTCAAGTTAAATATTGTCTTACTATGAGTATCAAAGATGAGACGTAGCAAAATGGTTATTAATATGAAAAATGGAATTGGTAAATCAAGTTTGAATTTTGGCTGAGCCTGCTTGAATCCAATTAGGACTATGCCTTTAAGAAAGGCATGAATCTACTGTATTCCATTACCAGATGTCTTGAGTATGATAGTTAATGAAGAGTGGGTTGAGTGACACTTAAGAAAACCACTCTCCCATAAATATTACCCAGGCAGTAAAAACTGTAAAAGAAAAAAATTTGACCCATTGTTAACCTTGACAGGAGCCAGCATTCTGTAGTATTACTATGTATGGTTTGTCACAGAAGTGCTTGATCAGATAAATAATTTTCCCAATTGATGGCTTGTCAATGAAATATAGCCTGTCATTATAAAAGGCATTTTCTTTTTTTAAGATATCAATTATAAAATATATTGATTTCCTTACTTGCAATTTTCAAAAGGTGTTTGACCGTAATCGTAGACCAGAGTTGTAGAAGATGCTACTCTCATATGGCATCCTCCAAGATTGAAGTTAAAACAATAGAGAAGATCAATAGCAATAACATGATTTTTGTTTTTTTTTTTGGTTTATAATCAACTGTACTTAAAATTTGACAACTTCATAACTGATGTCAATGTGGCTTAAGCAACTAGAGAAAGAAAAATTTAAAAGTTACTAAAAACATTATTTTGTACTGTATTCAAGAATTCTATTGATTCAGTTACACTGAAATTTTTTTTGTATTTATTAGACTCAAGCATAAAAACAAATTAAAAGACCATTTAAGCAACTTGCAACACCAGGGCTACAGTTGCGCAAAAATTAAGCAACCTGATTGGCCAAAATCTTAAGTTGCTAAAAAAATTGTATCATTGTTGCATATGGCTACAGTAACTTGTTTCCAGTTTTAACTGACATTCACAAAGGTTGCATCATATCCATTTACTGTTTGCTATTGGCTGGATTCTCAAAAAACCAAATGAACATAAAGTTTATCAATTTGCAAGAAAGAGAGAAACTGGTGAACTTTAACTTTGCTGATGATATAGTAGCTTTATCAAATAACACTTAGTGTCTTCCAAAGCATGTAAATGTCATTGGAGATTGTTCTGTAGAAATAACAAAATGAGAAAGGACATGTTGTCGGGAAATCATCACTCTCCAAATAACATTCTTATAAGTGAAAACAAAATAGAAATTGTTGATAACAGTTTACTTGGGAAGCCAAATTAACAAATAGATTGATATGGACCAAGAAATAGTCTGTAGAACTGGCAAAGCGTAAACAAATCTGAGAAAAATCTGGAAATCAAAATATTTGCCCTCAAGGCAAACTTCCCTCCATTGATTTCTGGCAGTGGAATGTGGCACCTGAAATTCAACCAGGAAAAGAAACTGGATGCATTCTGTATGAAATGCCTTAGGAAAATACTATGGTCAAGTGGAATGATTTTATAACTAATGACCAAGTTAGGAAACAAGCCAATCTATATCCCATTTGAAAAGAAATCTGCAAATAGCGAATGAAATAACTTAGTCGTGGAAAAAGGTACCTACCTCCTAGGTTTGGATTTCAAGTTCCATGGTAGATTCCTAATAGAAAACAGAAGTGGGGCTGGCCAAAATCCAACTGGTAATGAATCCTTTAAGAAAACCTTAAATAAGTGAAGAGCTGGAATGACATCAGGTTGCTGATTGCTTACTGATCAATGGAAAGTGTTAATTGATTATAAAGATGAGCTAAACTAAGGATGAATCTAAAACCAACTGGATGTTTTTTGTACTTTTTATTTTGTTTTTCCAGATGGTGTTAAAATGAATAAGGCACAGAGAAAAGCAAACATTTGAGATTGCTGCATTATTGCGGAAAAAATTATTTTACAGAAAAAAAAAAAAATGTCCTGGCAATTTATAGAATGAGTATTCAAATTTCAATGATAGATCAATCTACAGTAATTATCATAACTTCAGAATAATGTATTTTGTACAGTTGATGTAAATTTTCTTTTACTTTCTATTTTTATTTTTACAAAAAAACAGAAATGTTATTAAAAATTATTTAAGACTGGAAACAAGATTTTTTTAAAATTTCGAATCATTTGAAAACTTTTATTATAAATAAAAATAAATTGGTTTATTTAAGCAGCAGACAAGTTTTTCCTTTTTGCCCATCCAATGTAAACATTCTGACACAAATATAAATATAAAATTCTTTTAAAATGTGATAATTCAGATAAAGAAAAAATGAAAGTAAAGATTATTGAAACAACACTGCAAAAATAAAGAAACTATTCAATTTATATTACTAAATGTGTTTAATACATTTTTAGCCTTTCCAAATAAAGAAAGTAATAAAAGTATACACATTAACAAGAACTTTATGCTTTGAACTAATATACACATCACACATATATGCATTACTACATTGTCAAAAAATATTGATTCAAATTTTTAATAAATAAGACTCAACAAAAAACAAAATAAAACACAGCAGAAATACATTATGTCTGTCAAGAGTTCAAATATACAATTCTACTGAAATGGAAACCATTCCAGAAGATAGTAAGAATTTTCTTACCATTTTTGCATTTAAGTATTTTCAATCTGTCAAATAAAAAAAAAATAAAAAATTGTAGACAGATTTAATTTTATTAATGTTTTGCTTTGGGAAACTGTCCAATAATTGCATTGATTTTGAGCAAACATTTTGGAATTGTAGTAATAATAATAATAATAATAAAAAGAAAGAGAAATCAAATCAAAATAATGTGTAATCCAAATAATCTGATATCGTGGTTGGAGGTCATATTTAACCTCGAAGAATTGCCATTGCTTTCTATATTGTCCGCAAGGCTCGATATTTCTCTTTCTCCTCTTCTGTTGAGTCCTGTTCATTGTAGATCATAACCACATCATATTTGGAAGCTACTTTCTAAAATTTCATCTTAGAGTATGAATGTTGACAACAACAATAACAACAACAACAACATAAGCAGCAGATGTCCATGGAGAAAGGAAAAAAAGTGGGAAAAATATCAGAAGGTAAGAACTATACAGTATATATTGGTCTTCTTTCACTCAGCCAGTCACCATGTGAATTGTAAAAACATCCAGTGTCACATTTAGAAATTCAAACGTTCTTGGAATGACAGCAGTACATAATAGAGAGGTAACATGGTCTCCCACTACAATAGGCATTTATACATATGCTATATATAAAGAAAAAAAAAACAATAAAAGCAAAATCTTGCCCTTCCAATTAAAAATAAAGAATGGTGTCTAGTTCTATACTCATTTTATACTTACACAGTGCATCAGGCATCAGTAGTCACCTGATAAATTCTCTGTTCAGTATAAAAGGAATAGAAAGGGAGAAAAAAGAACCTCTCTTTGTCACTGGAAACTGGTGGTGGTGACAGGAGCTTTAGGGACCCAAAAATAAAAAATAAAGTATGCCTTCTGAGTATAAGCTACAAGTGTAAAATTCAACTTCACTTTTACAAGTAACAAATAGCTAAAGGGACTTTTACAGGATTTTTCTAAATAGAAATGAAAATGGATAAAAGTTTTATCATTGGAGAAATGGAGGGGGTAATTTGCTATCAGTGGAAGCCAGCAAAACTCTGGCCTTAAATTTAAGGAGATATTAATTAAGCAATAGTTCTAGTAAAGTTAACAGATTTCTAAAAGGCAAAAAGAGCTATAAGAAGTTGAAAGGGACTGTAAAAATTGGGCTACTGACGGTGAGGCATCTCTGTGTATGTGTTAGATATCACAGCAAAATCCAGTGGGTGACTGAACAATACACTCATGTACACATATATACATACATACATTCATTCATACATACACACACACCCACAGGTTAAAAGAAAAAATAACCCAAGTATATAGCAACTCTACTTACAGTTTGTGGCTACAATTACTCAGGTGAATTTATTTATTGTTTTGTTATATTATTTTGTAATACAAATTCAGCTGTAAATAAACTGATATTTGGAACAATAGGTCATTGAAATGAAATTAGGGAGAGGAAAAAACTGAGTATTGATAGAATAGAGAAGGAAGTTGACATTTGATGAAACAGATATTTTGTTTCATAAGAATTGGAACTGAATTCTCAAAGAAATAAAAGTTAACTGGACATTTTTAATTCAGTTTCCTAAATATAGAAATACAAATATAGGATCAGAAAATAAAAATCTGATTCTCTACCTAAAAGAATGCAGAGAGCAAATTTGAACTATGACTTTTGAAGGATTTTCACAACTTTTAAAATTTCTAAATACAACTGTCAAGAAATTAGTCTAACTAGAAGCACGCAGGCAAAAAAGAAAGAATTTGTATACATATGGATATGTATACCTAATACAAAACTGTACAAAATCCTATACCAGAAGTTAATTGTCTAAAAGATGAAAAATGCACTCATGTGTTTCTCTCTCCTGCCAGGACACTTGATAAACAGAAGACACATTTATATTTCTCTTTTTAAGATCCTAGTCAATTTATCAGTGATGCAAGGCATGAACAACATAAAATGTCAAGACTACAAGTGATTACCACTGTATTATGCTAGGATGTGTTAAAACTATCCTACTGCTAAAATTACCTTGTAGCTCTCTTAAAAATTTAAAGCTTCTTCCTTTTCTGTTTATTTTTAATGAACTGGGAAGCTACCTATTCAATTAATTTTACATACAGACCATAATGAAAAAAACTATGGAATATACTAAAATGAGAAAAGTCAGTTTATAAAACTGATCATTATGAATATGAAGCATAAAAGATTGTTGTTTGCTTTTTTTCACCCCAATAGCTGTTGTTTGGTTAAAACCTAACATTTTTACCAGACGAGTTGTTCTTTTCCTCGTATCAATATTTATGTTGAATGAGTTTTATAAATGCCATATTTTCCTAGAGTAAAAATGCTTACTCTTTGGCTTGGGCAAAAAATATGGCAACATTTTTATTATATAAGCAATGACCTTTACCTGTGACCAACAAGAAATGCAGACATCAACATGAAACGCATACTGTTATTATTCTAAGCTTTGCTTCCTCTAACACACAAACCAAATGTTGATTACAGTATCTGCTGTTCCAAAGAGACTATCCATATAAGTATCAAAGCAAAGTATATAATTGATAGCATACAACAATACAACTGTCAAATAAAAAACAAAATGTTTCATGTTTGGTCTATTTCACATGAACACTAAGTCTAGAAATCTGGAAGTTACTTTTTTTGTTTTTCCTTGTTTTTTTGTTTTTTTTAAATCAAGCTTAAAATTATTTGCTCAAGCTTAAGACTAATAAAAATAACAACTAAAATAGAAAACATTCTTTTCTAAAATTTAAATTAACTATCTACTACCTACAAAATATATTACTCTATATTTTATCAAATCTAAATGGTCCTCTACTTATCTACTGACCTAAAGGAGAAAGAAATAAAAGAAAAAGTATATAATCTAATAAAATACTTGGGGGGTAACAAAGATCCTAAATTATGCTTTAATCTCCAAACTGAAACAAAAATTTATGCCCAAGAGAGAACAGCAAAGAAGTAACAAAGTCCTCCACTTTTTCTATATTTAAGATTACTTTTTCCCTACTATAATTATATTTAAGATTATTTTTCCCTCTATAATTACTTTTAAGTATGATCAGGTATAAATTTTTACCATGTATAATAAATTTAAAATAATGTTACTTTCTCTACTATTTTATAAATGATTACAGCAAAATGAAAACTAAACAATTATTAGATAATAATTGAAAAAAAAAAAAAAAAGATCAGTGATTAACGGAAAACATTAAGAGATATTGCATAGGATTACAAAATAAAAAAAAAAATGACCCAATGTCCAAATATTTTTTAAATGCAAAGAATAGATTGTTTATGATGTAATAATTAAAGAAAAAGCTTTTTTTTTTTTAAAAATCTGATGAAATTCCAAGAAGGGCAGTGTCATTAAGCAAAACTGCTGAGTGACCAATTAAAAATGCACCTCATATACATTTTTTTCTATAAGTCATCTAGAATGGGAGACATCAGAAGAGATAAATGTCATCTTTTCCCCCCAGCTCTCATGTGAAACAAAATGTGAAGAAACTGCTGGGGTCCAGGAGACAGTAACAAAACAAAATTGACAAAAACGTGGGATTTTTTTTTTTTTTTACACATACAAACAAATTTAGTTCATAAAAAAAGATGAATGACCTATTATTCAAAATTCAGTGTATATGAAACTGAATATTTATATTTGCCCATATACATGCACACACACACACACACATACATACATACATACATACATACACACACTTGCATCTAATTATTTTTCTTCCAAACCTTTGAAAATGTCTTAATATTTAAAGAAAAAAAAAAAATGTTGAAATCTTTCTTTGCCTCCACTGAGCTGCTTCACTTTCTGTTCCATTCAGAATTGTCTCCAGTCATCAGCCAATTAGATTTCTTTATCTCTTTTTCCTCTGCTAGAAGTCAAGAGATTTCTTGATGTTAGAGTCATGTCGGTGGTAGGTAGGGAGACGTCCAGAATGCAGACTGTCCAGAATCACAAAAAGCAAACTGGCAACAAGGTAGGGGTTAACTACGTCGCTGTGCCGTGGAATACACGGACACCAGAGAATCAGTACACCCAGCCGCAAGCTTGACCTGAAAAATAAAAATGCAATTTCATAAAAAAAATAAAAACTATTTGGATTAACCAAAATAAAAAATTATAATCTTTATTCAGCAGCTAATTAAATAAGGATAGGGAATTTTAGCAGTAACCACTTCTTATTATTGCAATAGTATCAATATATATTAAATAATAAAATTACAAGAATTCATGTAAAGCTTGAAAATATTACTCTCGTCTGATTGGTTTTAATCATAATACACTTAGATGGATGATTATTTAAAAATATTAAACTATTGTAAACAAAAATTTTATAAAATTGTTTAAAATCGAATTGCTGGCTCTGGAGACAAACAGATAACATAAAAAAACAAATCTGTTTTAACTTTTGATGCAGCAACTTTAAAAAATGAGTTAGATTTGAAATAGTCACCAAGATTGTTTAGCTTAAAATTGACATTGCAGTAAATAATAGTAAGCGTCTTTAATATTCATAAATATTACAAGGAAAAGAAAATAAGCATTGTTGTAAAGACACCAGATATGTCAAATAATAAACAACAAAATGAAAAGCCATGTTTAAGAGGAACAAAGTGATTTCAAGCATAATCAGAAATAAAACAAATATTTCAAGGGTTCATTAATTACTGCTTGTAGAAATCTAAATAACTGAACATACTTTGTATGGATGAAAGGTCAAACATCGGACAGGACCAATTCTCTGGCCCAGAAAGCCCTCATGGTTTTTTATGACACTGCGCTGTTCCCCTGCATGATTCAGGATTACAATGGCTTGATTTGAACCACTGAAAGAGGAAAAAAAAAACAACAAAAAAAAAACATACTATTAACTTAGGAATAGAATTATATATTTTTTTTTTTGTACAAACATTATAAGAGACATTGATGGTTACAGAGATATTGCTCAAGACAATAAAAAATGAACATCGAGTTTCTTGAATCATTGTATTTTAGAAAATATGACTATCTGCATGAACAAGTAAAATTGTAAGTCAATATTTGCAAATTAATTTTGGCACAATGAAAGTCACAATTATTAGGTAAATAGAGAAACTCTTTGAAACAAAACCTAAAAATATTCAGCTTCTTAAATCTCTAGCAAAACAGATTTAATAAACTCTTTTAGATAAGAAACATCTCAAATTTATATAATTCTAGAAAAAGAATATTACATTCATTCTAAAGTTTGAGTAGTTTGTTAAAAAAAAGAAAAAAAGAGAAAAGACTACTTTTAATTTAATTTCCTATTATGAAGGTTATTGTTATAATACACACATGGACTTGGTATAATTGGTTAATGGATTCTCTATGCTTAGGCTATTGCTGTAACACCTGTATAGTTAGCATGAAGACTGACTCCAATACAACTACTACTATCAACCTCATAACATAGAACTCTTTATAGTATTGGATGAACTGATAGAGTCACCAGGGGTGTACTCTTTACTCCACATCTCCCACTTTTGAGATTACTACTTTATTAAATAATATTTTTATTTAACATTAGTATCTCCCCCTCCTCTTTCTGGAGAGTTCACCAATATACTTTGTAGCATTTTCTTTCCCTTGAATGTGTCCTTATAGGATCTCCGATTTGTTTTGGTGCTGACACATCAAAAATGTTGTACAGCATTTTAACCAGTTCTTCAGGTCTTTCATCAGTGAATTTTTTCTTCAGCTAATTTTGGTGCCTCTTATGTCGAACTTTTTTTTTTCCTACCGTTCAACTTCAAAAAAGTTTCTTCTGTACTTGGTAATGAGTAGTTCTGTTGTTCAAGACAACTATTTAATCCAGTTGAGAAATCTGCACAAACACAAATTTTGTCATTTATTTTTCTTTACATACACCACTGGTGCAGCCGATTTCAAATGGTTTATTTTCTGCAATACACCAATTCTTTCTAGTCTGCCCAACTTGTTCTAATGCTTCAAACGGTACGCCCCATTTTGGTTTAAATACTGGTGTCAAACCTATTTTTGAACACTGACCCAGTTCATTAGACAGAACATCAGGAAAACATTTTTTTAATTCTTTCTTCAGTTTTTTTTTTTTTTTAGGTGACTTTTTAAATTTATCACTTCTTCACTTACATTTTTACAATAACCATTTATTGGCAAATCACACAGTTCGAATAGTTCCATCCAGTCCGCATTGAATAGATTCGTCACATTTCTTAAAACATAAGCTTTTGTTTTTACCTGCTTATTTCGAAAATAAACATCACCTGTTAATTCTCCCCACAAAATAATTTCTCACCAGAAACTGAAGTTGTGACTTTGTAAGGTTTTTCAATTTCTTTCCATCTGGTTTCATTTACTATTGAAATTTCACTACCAGTATCTAGTAACATTTTTACTCCAACATAATTGATTTGCACATTGACAAATTTTCTTTTGTTTTGTGCCTATTTTTTCTGTCGCAGTATTGTGTATTAATTTCTTCCTGCGAAAATCTTTTCTTGGTTTAGTTCTGCAGTGTGATTTGATATGTTCCTCCTTACCACAGTTATAGCATTCAACATTTTCCCAAGATGTAATTTTCCACATCTGAAACAAGGTTTTATGTTCCTTTTTGTGCATTTTTCCTTAGCTTTTACCAATGGACATTGTTTATTCTGAAGTTTTTCAGAATCATGCTCCAGATTTAGCATTGTTTGGCAATCGTCCACTATTTCCTGTAATGTTATGTTATTATTATGTTCAATATTTGCTAAAATTTTCATTCGTATTTCAGTATCTTTTTCCATTGTTAGACCTTGCACAAAAATTAATCTCTTGAACTGGAGTCATTTCCTTAAGTTTAAATTGTTCACATTCTCTGTTGATGGTACCTGCATATATGACGAAATTTTCATCCACTTTTTTGGTTAAATTCATGCACTTCCAACAAGCTTGAAACAGGAAACACTTATCACTAAAAATTTTCGTCAGAATGTGTACTGTGTCTTCAAACCCTATTTCACCTGGTTTTCTCAGTAAAATATAATTGTAGTACTTTTCATTTTCTATTTGCACAATTTTTCTTAACAACAACCTGATTTTTTATCTTCTTCCCAGCCACTGCATATATATTTCTTTATGTCTGCAAAAGTCTGTCATCAGGATTATATATGAATTCTGATACAGTGTATTGCACTTTGTCTAGCATAAAAGATTTTGAAGTATTATTCTTCAAAACCACTTTAAACAACTCTTGTTTTTGCAACTGTAACAAATGTTAGGTATTTTGTTGTTGTTGAATTTCAACTACTGAAGCCAAAATTTTCTTCATATCTGAAAGAAAAAATATTTTTTTGAACCAACATGGTTGAAATTCTTGTAACTCCTGTTGTACATTTATGAGTTTCAAAAATCTGGTTGCCCACTATTATAACTCCACTTATAATGTGGTACTTGTTATACCATGCTTGAGTTCAAGTTCCTTGTTGTTAACTATTATAATTTCAGTTATAATGTTGCAATTTTATCATTTGCTTGTGTTCATGTATACTTGTCGCCAAATATTATAACTTCAGTTATAATGTTGTGATTGTTATCCCGCACTCGAGTTTGAGTCTCTTCATCACCAACTATTATAACTTCCTATTGTATGGTTATTGTTATAACACACACTCGTACTTGGTATAATGTAATTTGTTAAAGGATTCTCTATACACAATACTTAGGCTATTGCCATACACGGCTGTTTAAAAGCCTTGTTTTTGTCATATAGGAAAATCCAACATGGCGCGTAAACAAAATATTCGGCAAAAAATCTCATTCGTCAGTAACATTTTAAACACCTCATAGAATGTAAAGTTCTTAAAGAAAACCTATGCCAAACTGTTTTCCTGAATCCTTGATGACTTGGCAGTCCGAAAATGATAATATCAAGATGAAATAACGGAAACTGACCGTGAAAAATACAATTATGCGCAACAGGTTTTCGATCAATTAGTAAACTTCTGGACCTTTTAGGGCAACGTTATAGGATCCAGACGGCTATTGTTTGCACATGGAATTATTCACTGGTAATTAATCTTCAATTTGGTTGTGGAAAATGTCACTCGGCAGTTAGCATGAAGAAATTATGCCCAATTTTCTGAGAAAAATCCCCTTTTTTTTATGAAAAAATATTTATTTTCACTTCAAAATAACATCATTCAAAATTCATTCCTTTCTCTTTCATTTGGCATGAACATCATTGAATAAAAGGAACAGCTAAATGGACCGGCAATGGGAAATACGAAAGATATGTGGCGAAAAAACAATGTCGTCTGCTAAGTGTTGTTGTCATCACCCGGGTCACAGGGTGTTAAACAAAACAAAACAAAACACATCAAGCCATTGTTCAAACATAGGTTATATCAAGCCCTAGTAATGTTGAACCCTTTTTTTTGCTCTCTTTGCTTTTTTATCTGGGAGTGGTAGGTTTTATTACAACTTGTTCTAAGGTTTAATGTTTATTGCTGGCTGGCTGACCTTTGACCTAGATGTCAAAGTCAATTAGGTTTAATTTTCTTTATCACTGCTATTTTTTGGAAAAAAAAAACAACTTTTGGTTTCTGGTGGTTAGGAATTGCAGATAAATCTTTTGCCTTTTACTAAAGATTTCCGTGGCCGGATATCAAATTTTTTTAACCCTTGGCAGTCATATAATTGAAAATTACCAATGGATTTTGTCGCATTTTGAACACCTAGGAATGTTGATTTCCTTCAAAACTCTCAATTTTATGCCTGAAATAGTTTGATTATGATTTAGGCTTTCTGATTTTCAAAAAAAAAAAAAAAAAAAAAAAGTTAATTTCCCATTAATGGGGGAAATATTTGTTTAGAACAAGAAAAAAATGCAAAATTTTCACTATTTTTTCACATTTTACCCACTGAAAAAAATTTTGAGTCATTTACACCAGCTAATTTTACTTCTAAATGAAAGAATATATCCTTTGCTTTCAGAAAATACCTAGTTTCATGGCGTTCAGATCAAAAGTTTCCTTGATATTAGTTTAGGTGATGATAAAAGTCATTTTTCAATATTTTACCCCTATAAAAGTATGAAAATCCATTTTTTGAGAGAAAATAAGCTGTGACAAAATGACTTGCCATTTTTGTGATGATTTTCACTTGGGATAGGAAATTTTTACCATAGGAAACCTGAGTTGACTTTATTAAAGTTCAGTGGGGCTATAGGAAACCTCAAACAGCTGTGCATAACTCCTGTATAGTTAGTATGGTTTACTCCAATATGACTACTACCCTTGACCTCATAACATGGAACTCTTTATAGCATTGGACGAGTGTACTCTTTACTCCACATTTCCCATAACAACAGAATATAGTTAATAAACTAACAGTAGATAGAACTTGAACAATTATAAATGATCTTGGGTCGTAGTAAAAGACGTTGATTATAACCATTGGTTAAATCTGCAATATAACTATCACTGATACATAAGCAACAATAAAAGAAATGACTGTAAATAATTAAGAAAGTTATCTTACCAAGCTATGACGTCTGCATATTGATGCAATTCCATAGCAGACAATCCTTGCTGGGTCTGTATCTTTCGAACAGAATCTGGACTCCTCATATCCCAAAATCGGATATCACCAGCAGAACTTAAAAAAAAAAAAAAAGTATAGTTAAATAATACTATTGACAAACAAAATCACAAAAATAAGTTAATTAAAAGAAAGACATATTTCAAATGAAAAAAAGTCATTGTTTAAAAACAAATATGTATCATTTAACTATAAAGTCAATTTGGGTAGAGATAATATGCCATTATGATACAAGATGGCTGCATTTTATTTCTTGTACAATATACATTAAGTTTTTATTTCTGTTTAGAAATATATCACGGACTCTAATGAGTATAAATAAATATGTCTTATGTGACTGACTAATACTTCTAAAGTCATAATCAGTTTTATAACAAGAAACAATATCTATTGCGGAATTTAAAGATTTTACTCATTAATTGCATAGGACAACACTTAAAAAAGAGGGTAACATTTTTAACATTTTATCACAATCAAAAAATGCATCTTAATACTGACCTATTTTAATCTATGGTATGTCTCAAATTATCTTATTGGGTCATATTTTTGCATATATTTTACAAAAACAAGAAATTGCAATTTAATATATTTGATAATATTGTTCTATCTTGAGCTATTAAATAAAAATACTAAGTTGAAATGTTTGCTATAACTGATACCATTGTAAATATTAACAATGTCATTTTCTTTTCACCTTTAAAACATTTTTTTAATCAATTCACCCCAAGCAAGGTGAAAATGACACACAGATCCAAAGGGATACTGGGAGTAAAAGAGAATGAAAAAGGTTTTAGGAGGAACCAGAAATCCAATTCTAAACAGGAAACAAGGGATAAACCACTACTCTTGTTCAAAAGAACATGGACGCATTAGTTAAATACTTTTATCAAGACAAAAGTTTAAGCTTCAGACAGAGATTTCTATATCACACAAAAATAACTTTCAAAAACAAAAGAGAGATGAAGTAAATAAAAATAAAATGTGTTCTTACCTTGAAGTAACTATCCTGCTGTACGAACCTCGTTGATAGTGAACATTTACTACCCAACTGTTGTGCTCTCGCAATGTCCTTACCAAGCTAAAAAATAAGAACACATTTATTAAATAAAATTCTTACAATGTTTACTAATAATTTATAACTTCAATCTAATGCTGAATATTCAGTAAGGCATGTCTTAATTAGCTGTAAATAATAAACACAAAGCATGTTTCACTTTAATCCACAAGAATACAAAGAAAGTCAAATTCAATACTAAACAAGTAAATGGATGGCTGAAGAAACATCTTATGAAGTTATGCCGTTTAAAAGTAAAAAACAAAATATTCTTATTTATAGCGTTAAGATTTAGAAATAGTAAAAGAGGGAATAAAAATCTGAATATACTTACGACTCAGAAGGCGAGAGTCGGCTGTCAAATATCCGTACAGAACCATCCCCACAGCCTGCCACTAAGACAGCCATGTTGGTAGGGTCACAAGCAATACTAGTTACACAGCTGTCAGCACCAGTAAACAAATCCTACAAAAGAAAAACAATTTAGTAAGAACAGGTGATAAACTAAATAGTCTGATCATAGAGTAATCATAGGGGATGTATAGCTCATGACACTTCCAATGCATCTTTGAGTAAATTATATTCATTTTCTTTTTGTTAAAACAGTATTTTCCAAGTTGTGATCATGAAAGTTCTGAGGACATACAAATGTATCGAGTGTGTTCTTAAATTTTAGCTCCTTTTGTGTTCATAAATTTTCTTTAAATTTTGGGATGTTTTGCCTATATATTTTTTGAGCGTTGTTTATATTCTATTTATACATTTGTGTATGTGTGTGTATCATGTTGTGCTACCTAAAACTTGGATAATGAACAGCTACATGCAAATTGAATGTAGTACAGACTTGCTGCTACCCATTTTGATCAGTACTATGACAAGTACTTTCGATTGTTACATTTAAAGTAGTAATTCTTTTTGTCAAATTCCGAAATGCTTTGTATACACCACTTAACATAATCAATATGCAGAAAGAATAAAGTTTGTGAATAATTCCAAATGCAAACTCTACACATTAATTTGTAAAAAGAAAGGTCATATTAAAAAAATTAGGATAAAATTTTTAAAAATAATTATATTTATAAACAAAAATTTAATTCTTGCACTCTTTGTAACTACATGGAGCCAGCATGCAAACTAAAGTCTAACTTTTTCCATAAACCACTGTTTTAATTACTACTTGATATTTAAAACTTATATTTTTTCATAATGATTAATAGGTAATTATAGGTACATTATTTTGAAATAAGGAATTATGAATACAAATTAGCATAAACAACAAAAAATTAAAAAGTACACAAAAAACAGAAAATTACACCTATAGAATTAAGAATAAAAAATGTTTACCTGAGTCTTTACTTCTCTCTTGATGTCCCAAATTCTTATGATTCGGGCGTCGCCTGTAGTAAATAACGTCTCTGTCACTTGATCCCAGCTTAATACCAAACCAGAACCTAAAAGGGAACATCACAAACAGTAATGCAAAGGTTAAATGAAACTTCTTGAATAAAAAGATAGATTTATAAAACTACTAAAAAGAATTATTACCAAAAAACATTTGAGTTATTAAAAGCAAGTCTTCATTTTTAAGCTCTTTTCTTTTAGATTCTAGAATAAAAATAAAATCTCAACTCAAAGATATTCATAGTTTATAGTTTTCCAAGAAGACACTTATTAATAAAATTAGATCATTTGAAAATATTTTTTATCATTGCAAATTTTAATGAATAAATGAAAAAGAACAATAATGAGAAAAAACTTTTGCTTAAAGTGAAAAAAAATTACCTCGCTGCAGGGGCAGCATTTCAGATAATCCCTGGAAAGCTGTAACCAAAACCTGCTTATTCTCCTCACTGTAATTTCGCCACACACGAACAGAACCATCATCTTTAGAAACAAAGATATAAAAACTAATATAAAGAGAATTTGTTAAAAATTAAACTATATAATCCTATTATTTATTCTTTCGCTCCTCAGATCAAAGTGAAATATGAATACAATAAATGATTCTCATTCTTGTCCCCCAGTGTAACAATTTTCATCAAGTTGTTCAGAGGTCATGATATTAACAGGGACAAGCACAAAATGAAAACTGAACCTGATTGGAATACAAATCACAGTTATAAAAAGCAGATCTTTGGTCAACACACAAAATTATTTCTATTGTGCTGGCATGAATAAATAAATGAATATTAAATAATATTTTAGTAAAATTCAGTTGAATTAACATAAAAGCCAACTGACCTGATCCACACATCAGTAAGGCTTGATCATGAGGGTTAATAAATTCCATGGAGGTAATACGGCCACTTTTGGGTTGATTGTTAACAAAACTTAGCTGAATGCCTTGTTCCCAGTCCCACACACTAAAATAAGAACATATTTAAAAAAAAGATGCATTATGACAACTGTAAAATAATTAAAAAATCAATACTGGTAAAATAGCTGGAATATTTACAACCAGCACTGTCAGACAAGAACTATTCAACTTGGGTCAGAAATTGATAAGATGAACTAAAATGATGCTACTTTGAAATGGATTCCCAACTTCAAACCTCTGTGAGTTTAATATTAAATTATTTTTCAAATTTATATCAAAGAAACAAATTAAGCAGAATAAGTTCTTTTCATTATCCTTAAGTCCATCAATGGTCAGAAATTTTACTTTCAATGGTGATTTTTAGTTTTGAATAAAGTCAGAAATTTTAAGGAGCCAATTCTGGGGTATCTGACAAATTTAGGTGATGTTTTAACAAAAAAACATTGTACAAGAATATGACAATCACATATGGCATCTCACTCAATGACAACTCACAACCAACTGAATAACTCCAGAGGAGAGTGTCTGTTCACAAATGCAGTAAGGTTCCTTCTGATAGGTTGCCAAGTTACAAAGACACACAGCTCATTAATATATTCAGAATGATTACTTTCAAGACAAACTTCATATTAGTTAAACATGGACTGAAGTTAAAAAAAAGATTCAAATAACAAACATTACCAATGAACTAATTTTTAATAAAGAATTCTTTACTTTTGTCATAAAGGGATTTTAAAATCACTTACCTCACGTTATCTTTGTCTGCAACAGCTAGGTGGGCTTCATATGGATGAAAGCGGAGAATATTAGGAATACCAGAATTTTTATTGACAAAGATTTGATCATCAAATCGATTGTAGCCTACAGAAAGGGAAAAAATATCAAAAAGTTATAAATTTTCTTCATTTTACGAAAGTTGGGTTTCATTATTTTTTTCTCTTACCCTTTCATTTTATTCTTTTTCTAAAGGAAGCAGTAATACAAAATACATTAGACATTACATCAGGTCACCTTTGACAAATCATAGCATGTGTAAGCTTCCATAGTGAATAAGATGTTACAATAAATAAATAAAATGTCTATTATTATTATTTTATTTAATAAAATCTGAGTTTCTTTAGCACTAAAGCATTGGATTTTGACCTGAAAAATGAGGATTCACAAAAATATTTTGCCACAACTACATCACTTTTATAGAGGATTTAATGTCTCAAAATTTTTTTATCTCTTAAGAGAAATATTGCCCCTGGGAATGTAGATTGTAAGTTTTCTCATAAGGAAATTCTAATGGACAAATAACATGTGTGACTTCTATCCTTATGAAAATTGAAACATTGTACTGTTTCTTCAATTACTAATGCTCTGGGTATCTGTGTATATGGCTTATTGACTGTAGATTCTTCAATACCATCTACTTAAATAACCTATCTACTCATATCTTGACCATTGGGTCAGGTTTTATCCATTAATATCTTATTGAAATAAAATAATAAAATGTAGGACATAACTTTAATTTCACCAATGCCAGCCCCCCCAAAAAGAACATAACCCTATAATGAGAAAATATTAAGAAAATATATTTATAACAATATTACCAACTATTAACACACATTTAAAACAAAACTACATTACATCACCATTTTTCTACAGATCCATTATTCATGAATTTAACTTATCTCATTCAAATACATATATATATATATATATATATATATATATACACACACACACAAAGATATGAGATATACTTTAATGAAACATTTTTCAAAACATTCTGCAGCGTCTCACTAACCTTTACACACTTTAGCATCCAGAATGTTTTCTTACACTTATTTGAATATTACCTGTTAATTCATTACATATGACACGCATCCAATCAAAACATCCTACTGCATCTTACTAACTTTTACACACATTAGTGTCGAGAATGTTTGGCATACATATTTAAATATTATCTGCTACTTCATTACATGTTACACATATCTAACTAATAAGAAATAGCCAAACAAAACATACCATTAATCTGCATCTCTCTGCTTTTTATCATTTATAATTTCTATCTTGATCTCTGATGAAACTTTAATAAAGTGAAACATGTTAGATTAAGATCTGTTTCCTACTTGTTCTTTATCCTATCATTTTGTCGGATTCCTATCCATACTTGATTTATATTATTGAAGTGTCTTTGTAGCTCATATATCTTGACACAATTGGAATATTTTTATCAGTAGTTATATTTGGTGCAGATATATCAAGTCTAGATAGATATGTCTTGCCTAAAATAAAATAAATAAGACCTTGTAAGGTCAGAATTTTATTCCCAGAGGTAATAAAATAAAACAAAATTAGTAAAATTTGCACAAATAAAAAAAATTAAACAAAAAAAGAGTTTTATAAGATGTTATGAAACTAAGTAGCAAAGAGTGTAGCTTAAGTAGCATGGAAGTGAGTACAGAAAGAACCTAAAAGCTATTTTCAAACTTATAGTTAACCAATCATGTAATTTTATTTTGGCAAAGGTATGAACCTTGAATTTTCTTGTCCTATCTTCAGTTGTCTTAATCTGATTTTGTTTTATCACAAGCAATTGGAGAAAGCAGAGGACAAAGAGGGACATACTATAATTGACACGTTGACTGCCAGAGGTCAATTACAAAATCTGACTTTAAATGCCAACTTTATAATAGCCAACTTAGTTGATAAAAATTTTTTATTAGTTTATTTATAGCTTCAACATTGTGTTCACACTATAAGTATCATTGTGAATAAACTTGCTGTCGCCTGCAGATGAAAATGTGTCAGAAAATGCTGGCTCCAAGTTATCTCAAAGTTGGCAGTCAATGTTTTAATAGTCTGACAAAAGAAACAAGAGGCTGCTTTATCCAATGTGAATAATTGCTATTGGATCTCATATACGTATGTTCAGAAAGAAGGATGAAAAACAAAAATCAGTAAAACCTTTTGGAAGTTAATGCATTTTATAATAGAATGTACACATTTATACATAGTAGCACAAATGTATACTGCTTGGAGCCATGTACCATAATTTATATGGAAGATACTAGAATAACGAGACTTGATTTTATTTGATAATTGACAGCTTTGTGGAATGAACTAACATCTAGTTCTTATGGAGAGAGAAAAAATAGGAAGAAAAGCCATAAAACTTATACAATAAATGTATATATAAATAATCCACAATAAATTTTCTGATCTATACCTTAGTTTGTAGTACCATATTAGGAAAAAAATAATTGCAACACTCTGAATATGTATTTCAATTCTACAGTAAATGATCACATATACAGATCAATACATAAACAGGTTCTAAAATAAAGGGTGTAACAAGTGTACTCAGATTCTTTATTAATTTATTTACTGGCTGGCAATTATTATTTATAAACTTTAATACTTGCTAAAGAAAAGAGGTTTGTAATTCTGAAACAATTTACAACTTTTTTTTGTTACCTCATAAACATTAGTCCACAAAATATTTTAAATTCATTTATATTTTATTTATACTTTTAAAAAAAAGATCAAACTCCCTGTAGTACTTTACTATAACTAAATCCAACTTAAAGGTTTACCTGCTTTAAACTGTTCTGGTTTGGCTTCATTCCTGACCATAGCATTTCGCTGGAATCTGTAATCCCGTTCCATAGACAGTTTGCTTTCTGGATCCCCTTCATCCCAGGACTTGAGAGGCTGAGCAAAATATTTACTGCTCCACTTGAAAAACTCTGTTGTCACCAATGGCTTCTTGATACCACATTCTTCTTTCTTATCTTCAACCTTAAAAGAAAAACATTTTTAAAAGCAATCAATAATGAAGAAAAATAAAATAAAGCAACTGGTCAATGTTAAACATCAAAAACCCAGGCAGTTAGAGCAGCTGCACAAAATGACACTGGAAATTTATTATTTGGTTGATGCAAAAGATCCAAGCACCAATTTTAAACAATTTTCAAGAAATCTTAGAAATTCACCCAGCTTTTTATTGCTTGTGCAATTAATCAACTTGTTATACTTTGTTTGAAAGCCTTAAGACCAATCCAGAAACTAGGAAAATGGTTCTACATAAACTTACAGAAAAGAACAGGAGATGGGATTTAAACAATTTTCCTTCTATTTTTGCTTAACTCAGATAAAACCATTTTTGGATAATCACTGGCAATGAAAAATGGATTTATTTCATTAACCTAAAATGAAGAAAAACTGTAGCTTGTTCCAAGAGATCTTTCAATAACTCATCTTAAACAGAAACTATGGGGGAACTTCTGTGTTTAATGGGATTCAAAGAGAATTATTTATTACACATTACTGGAAGCTGAAGAAGCCATTACTATGCAATGTTACAAATTCAAATTGAGTCACTTAAATAATGAATTGTAATAGAAAAGATCATTTTATAGGATAAAAGTCAACTGGTGATTTTTGCATTTGTTTTCTGATTAAAACTGCATTTGATTGCATTTGATTCAAATTAAATACATATTAAAAGTAAATCCTGTATTATCAAAACTTTCATTTGGAGTTATAATTTACATTTGATTATAAAGAATATCTAAACTGTTTTAATGTCAATATACAAGGGGGAAATATATATAAGAAAAAAGAGAAACTAAACAAAAACTAAATGACTAAAAAAAGTAAACAGAGAAGAAGCAACAAAATACAACATACCAATCCTGGTCCTTTGTCAAAAATTTTTCGACTAGGCAGAAACTGAGCTGAATAAGGAATCTGTTGACTAGCGGGAGATGCTGGTCGAGTTCGTGAAACTCGTTTGCTTATTCTGGTACCATCTTGATCAACAGTAGCACTTCCGTTTGGATCTCCATGGGAAGGGCTGCGGCGGCTCCTCTCACCAGAACTGTCTCGCCTATGATGACTAGAATTTGAGGGAGGAGCTGCACCACTGCCTTGCTGCTGCTGTTGGCTACGTAATTCTTGAGAAGAGACCATTATGTTTGGGCCACTTGAACCTTTAGCAGTACTATGGTGGACGGCGTCTCTGGTTGTCTCTGAAGTTTTTTTGATTGGGCTGGTCATCTCCCGACGACCTTCAACCCCAGTCTCAGAGTTCCGACTTCGAGGTCTTTTCTCCAGATGTTGATCTAGCTTGGCATCAGATTTAGATTCTGGCAATTCTGTTGAGTGGCTAAGAAAGAGTAGCAAAAAGAAAAGCATCATTTATGCTGATTTAGCACACACACTAATGACCAGAATTCTTTCCTTTTCAGCAATTAAGTGCTAAATTAAAAAGGTATGTGTGGGCAAGTGCCACACTTTTAATTTGGGAAATAAACTCTGAATTAATTTCTTGATAGGATTGCATTTTTATGCACCTATTCAGACTGTTTGAAACTTGTTGAAGTCGTGTTATCCTGCAACTAGATATAATCCAAAACAGAAAACCTTTTCTTGTAACAAAAATACAATTAACAGAAATAAAATGGAATCTATGTATTGTGTACAGTTTTTTTTTTCTAATCAAGGAACATATAATAATTAAATAAAATATGTCTAAGTGTATATTGCAAAATTGTTTGGATTTTTGTAAAAAAAAAAAAAAATGTTCAGATATGTTTTTCTAAAATGAGAAAATTATTTTCAAAATTCACATCTGAAAAGCTAAATGGGGATAACTATCAGATGATGTTATGTTCTTTAATAGCTCAAAAGCAAATTTATTTAATTAAACAATTGTGAGGCTAACTGAACATATTCAAAAACTAAAGTTTCAAAAGCAATAAGAAGTATAGAGTCAAAATGATATAATTCCAACTGAGCATGAAGTATTAATGATTTGTTCTCCTTAGTTTATCAACATAGAAAATGAATGTGTTCATTTACTTTAAGATTAATTATGTCAAAATAGTCAATATTTAAATAGTAAAATAACTTTTCTATAATTTCTTATATCATAAAATCAAATAGCCCAATAAACATGGATTATATTTAACGGTAAAGAAATGTTCCAAGTTTTTATAATGAAATCCTCTCTGGAAATTTATACTTCTATGTTAATACTGTTAAAATTGATTAGTGTCCATTGTTATCTGATGCTGGAATTTAAAAAAAAAAACAATTAATATCTTATACTGTATATTCAAACTTCTACTAAAATATTATAAAATGAAGAAAATTCAGACAAAAGTTAATAAATTAATTTTTTTCAAAAATAACAAAACTAAGAGAGATTGCACAGACTGAAACTGAATGTGAAAGCATTTTCAAAAAATAAACGTTTCATTAAAAGAATACAGATATATTATAAGAAAATAAAGAAAAAAAAACAACTTGGCCAATATAATTAACCATAATATCATCAAACATGAAATTGTATAGTAGTGGGAAAGATATGAAATTTAAAAGTAAATCTTCAGGATAAAATATAAACAACTACTACAAAATATTATCAGAACATGACACATAAAATCAATTTGGTATAACATCCTAAATAAAAATCACTGTAGATAGGAAATGTACAGAATTACCATGTTAAAATTTGTATATCTTTTGAAATTTAAAAAAATAACTATCGTCTAATCTAAACAGCCAACACAGCAATAAAGAAGAGAAATATAATTTATATATTTAAAAACAATGACTGAATAGCAAAAAACAAAAGAATGTTATATGAATGTTATAGCTTTAGAGAAAAAAGTTTTTGCAAAATGATAAAATTCAAATATTTAATATTTAAAAACAATAATGAATGAGAAAATACTGTATTTTATTATAGGTTATAATAGAAATAAAAAGTATCCTTATAGGTAGTGTGATATAACAAAAAGATTATTGAACAGCCGGTGATCTACTGTCTAGTTAACATTTGTCTCAGGTCAATAAATGAGAAAAACTGCATGTAAGAAATTTTTGTTTTCAGCAATATTAGAAGAGAGCAATAACTGTGTCAGAAATTAGGGATAATTATCTAACATGAAGTTCTTCTCTTCACAGTTACATGTTATGGAATGGAGCCTCCAAGATGCTAAAGTCATAAATGTAGACGACATGTTCTAGAGCTGTTCATGCCTGTTGGTGTGGATGGCGAGAACTTAGTGAGGTCTGAAACATATCCTATAGATATTGTGGCATTTAAATCTAATGAGCGCAGTGAACAATAAATAGAGTACCTGGAAGTCTGCTGAGTATTTCTGAAACCAACTTTGTGCCACCCATGCACAAAGAGATCTTACTGGAACAAACCATCCCCATTGGGAAACATGCCAAGTACAAAGGGGCAAATAGTTTGCAATAAGACCTGTATATATCATACCTGCTAATATTCCTGGTATACCTTTGTTATTTTTGTCAGAGAGAAACTGAGAGCGGTTGCTACAAAATGTAAAGTACCCCATCTTTCTGAACCCAGTAATTATTCCACAGGTAAACAATGCCCATGTGTCATGGCTGCCACAAACACACTACCTGTTTCTTACATGTCATACAGCAAAGTCCATTACTACAAGTGAGGGGAAGTTGAAAATAGCCAGTGTACTGCTAATTTTTTGGCTCTTCAGTTTACAACAGTAACTTCTTATTTATCGAGTACCTTGGCATACATTATTGGTAATAATGAAAAAAAATCGGCAGAGTAATAAAATAGGTATGAAGATGAAAAATACACCCTTACCTACAGACTTGATTAAAACTGAACCATTTAAAGCAAAGACTGAAAAACCAATTAATTAATAAGGTAAAGAAATTAGGAAAATTTAAATTGTATGTTTACATTCAAAGTATTTTTAAGAAAATTTTTAATTAATATTTTTTTAAATAAAAATTTGTAATTTTCAATTTTATCAATTAAATTTTTAAGAATGCTTTCTTGTACATGTCTCTTGTCAGTAGTTTAAAAATAGACATTTTTGATGCAATGCTTTGATAACTGAAAGAAAAAGTAGATATTACAATTCACATCTAAACATGCAATGCTAGACTTCAATAAAATTTAATGGATGCTACCAGGGAGACACGTCTTTTGAAACAATACAAATTGCTATCAACACAACAATTAAAAAGCAAAACGGGTGTATTTTTATTACAACTGTTTTAATTAATAATCTATAAAAAAAAATTTTGAGTTTCTATTATGACAAAAAAATTTTAATTTATAAAAACTTTAATTCATCAGCTATAAAAATAATTTTCATTTATAGTACAATAAAAAATTATATATTTTTAATTTATATTGCAGTGAAAACATTTTTCTCTTAAAGTGTTATAAAAATATGCAAAATATGCTCAGTTTTTTCATATCTGAGTTTTATAGAAGAATTTATGCTTGACAGAGAAAAATCCATTTTTGTCCATACACTGTTCAAATTCTTTATACAAAACAAAACAATGAAAGTAACAGTTTCTGATTATAGTCATTTTTTTCAATAAGCACAGTGCAATTTTTAATTTTCTTGGGGATAAAATCAAAATAAGAAAGATGAAAATTATTCTGTAAATGTTATCTTTAAATATAAATTCAAACATCATTTAAGTACACTATATATTTTTTTAATTTAAAATATAATAAAATAATTTATACTAAAAATGAAATAATTTTCTAAAAAGAAAATATTGGTTTATTCATTATCTTTAATGATTCAAAATAAATTTTAAAAAAATAAAAAAATATGAAAAGCTGAAAGAAAAACAAATACTGATATACTAGTATTAATATCATACAAACTGATTTTTGGGTAATTTTTATTCTAATATCAGTTCTAGAGCCCCAATTCTAAATTAGGTAGCAAGATAATTATTTTTGTAAATGATTATATAGTGTATTCTTTTTAAAATAACATAACTTTTTCAATGAGCACAAATTTCTAATATAATATGAAACAAAGCTGACATTTTTTGCTACTTTTCATGTCCGTAACTAGTAATAAAAAAATGAAAAGACACCATCATGGCCTTAGCTGGATTAGGGAGTACTCTTAAAATTATAAATCTGCTTCATTTTACTTTTAAAATTTAATCTGTATACTTACCAGTTATCTTTAGATGACATGGGTGATTGGCAGTAACCCAATATAAATATAAAAATTAAAAGAAAAGATGACTAAAAATTTTATAGATATTTTTTCATACATACTAAAAGCAAATTCACACAAGTTTCTTCATGCCTGAAGTTTGAATTCTACTTGGAAAAAAAAATCTCTAAAAGCAACATTTGTATGATACAATAATTAATGCTTTGCATGACAGATGAATAAATAGTATCTCTTAACATAAAATATGCCAAAGTTCTTAAAATCAAAAATTTTTGATCACTTCTTGATTAGAATGTCTAATATTCAGACAAATTTGTTATAGTATACAAACATATACATTAAACATATGATCTTAAATCTTCATCTTTTTTAAATGTGTGCAAAGTAACTATTTAAAAAGAAATTGCACAATTTAAATTTCTATTGTTTACAAATTAAAAAAATAAAATTACAAATGTAAAAAATTTGCTCAATGAGTTACATAATGTATAATTTTTCAAGAGTTTATTTGCAGCAATGTTTTTCAGAGTCAATAAAAAAAAACATTTATATTGCTTTCTAATTGGAACATTAGTGAGAATTATTTCAATTATATTATTATTTACTGTAATATTTCTATTTGTTCATTAAATTTGTTACAAGACTTATGAAAATTGCTACCTACCTTTTCACACAGGAAAACTAGAAAAGCCATATCAGAAACTAAAATTGTATAATCATCTTCAAACATACCCATTCAAGCAAAATCTCAAAATACTATTTAAAAGCAAAAAGCACGCATATAAGATATTAAATATTTAAGCAGAAAGCAAAAAAAATATAAAAATATTGGCACAAGCTGAATGAAATGTTTCTTCTTAAAAAGTGATTGAAATGCAAAAAATCTAAACCCATAGTTTCTTAAAAATTTCCAATAATTATTATCTGCTATAAAATCAAAACTTTACAAAACACTAGAATTTAACAAGATAAATTTCTGCTTCCACTGAATTGACCCCCTATCACAAAAAATATTTTATAATATAAAATTAATAATTATATTTAGTTTTCATCTATTTTTGGTTTCTTTATTTTATTGATTAAGCAATATAAAAAATGATACAAATGAAGTAACATCAGAAGTGGCAGAGCTCTGATTGGACATAAGGACACAAGCCTCTTTAAAAGTAAGTTATATGCATCTATTATCAAACGTTTCTTAATAAAAAAAATGTGTTAACATATTTTGAATTAAGACAGATGATCAACATTCTAGTAAAAATGAATTCCTCTACCAAAGTTATATATAATAAAACAACTTAATTATTAAAATTAAAAATTATTCGTGCGACAATAACTGAAATTAGCATAAGGAAATTGAATCACTTTTTCTCACTAACATTAACTAATTTATTGTTACAGCATAGTGTAAAAAGAAGTAAAAATTCTTTATGATTTGATAATGTATATGCAAAATCTTAATGGAAAATAGTTTATTCATTTTACTTTCAAAATCATTCAAATTTATAAAATATAAACAATATATTCTAAATTATTGATAAGTTGCAAGCATTATATATAAAGTGTGGACATAGAAACCAATACTGCATGAAGTTTCACACCATAAGCAATCATCAGTTGTGATGATCCCTTAAGACATCATGCAGTGTTAATTTCTATGATTGCACTATTTATATCTACACATGTTCTTTCCTTAATAGTGAGCATTTTGATAAATATAGCACATTTTAAACTAGATTATAAGCATGTGCATGAATGCCAAATAAAATATCACTAAATGGTTCTCATTGTCATATTTTAAAAATTTACATCATTTGTCATTTCAATAAATGTTGGTTTTGCATCAGAAATATTCAGAGTTTAGTGAAATATAAAATATGTTTTTTCTGCTTAGATTTAAGTATTGCTTTTCAAGTTTTTGATAATTCTTATCAGTACACTTTACATTATTTTATAAGTATTATTTCTCCTTCTACTATATATGGTGCCTCCTCAAATACAAACTGCAGTAGCCTTGATCTCAATTTAAGTCAAGGCTGCTTTTTGCTGTTGCTATAGCAGGATGTGACAACATAATCGTAAAATTTAAATATACTATTTTTTGGTGATTGGTGCCAAATGATGGTAACTGAAGTTGCCTAAAAAGTGTTTAAGGTTAATAATCAAGATACCATATTTTTAATAATGAATTCTTATTGAAACACTAACATTCTATATGTATTTAATTTCAAACCCAGTATTTCATTCTCTGCATTTAATTGAAAGCATATGCAAAGCACAATTATTGCTGAAGACTTCAAGCAGACACACACACACACACAATAGCCTTAAAAAAAAAAAAAAAAACTCTTTTCACAGAATGAAATAAAAACTTCAAAGCAAGCACTATCTTCTCACTTTATAATGGCTGTAAAATCTAAAGTACAAAAATAGCTGTGCAAAACAAAATTAGCTAGTAAAATAGGAAAAAAATTTTTTTTATTCAATTTTGAAGGACTCACTTTCTCACAGTAGCAAGGCTTGGACCCCGACCTGGTGGACTGGAAGGTGCAGACTGGCAGGAAGGAGAAGAGGAGAAGCGAATTTTAGTCAACGGCACAGTAGCCTGAAATAAAAAATTATAAGTGACAGCACATGGCAGGCTGAGAAAGCTGGCACCCTCTTGTTGCCCTTTTAGATTAGTAGCAGAATTAGTAAGAGAAAACAGCTTCTCTCCAAGTAGATATTGCTATAACACGAGAGAAAGAAAATTTTTGATTGTAAAAATGTTTTTTTTTTTTTTAAAACAATGACCACTGTTGTGTTTAAATCAATTTAAAATTTTTTAAACTAATACTTTTTTTAAAAAAAATTCTACTTTTGACTGATGTCTTAACAATGAATTCTAGACATTATAGGAAATCTGTTTGGATTTTGCATGCAGCAGAATTCTAACTTATTTGTTACCTAAAAATAATGAGCACAGACTTGTATTTCACTGGAAAGCATTTTGGTTTTGTAAAACAGTGATGATAATTTTGTTCTGCCTTCTTTATTATTTTCTTTTGTTTCTTACTCTTTATTCATTTTCACGGCATCTTGTCATATACTTCTTATTCATAATTTTGATTTTCGCTTTTAAAATGTGACAGTGGTCAAAAGTTAGCTAATTTTGCTGGTGCTTAAATACACCAGGCAGGTACTAAGTATTATAAACTGCCATGGTCTGTATAAGAATCAATATACAGGCTAATAAAATTCATTTCAGTCTAAGTAATTCTAATAAAGGATAATATGGCAATTATCATGTGTTTTAAATTGGTCTTTGTTTCTCCTCCCACCTTCCTCATACAACAATACATCTACTTATTACATTTTGTAGTTCTGATTGAAGGCTTTTAGAAATCTTCATGCAAGGGTGCTGCCTGCCAAGTTAAGTCACAAGATTTTCTTAACATTTAAGGATCAAAAATATACAAAATAAAAATTGAAAATTAAAAAAAAAAACAAAACATTCAAAAAATATTTGCTATTGTACAAAAAATTAAAAAACTTTTTAGACTTAAAAGACAAAAAGATAATCTACAACCTGCTTTTATTTGGATTATTTTACGAGATACTAATGAAAGCAACTTTTGTATTCAGTGTATAGATTCTGTATAGTGTTAAAGTTGACAACAATCATTCAAGTTTCAAAATACTAGTTTCTTGTATTTCTCTAGAAAAAAAACATTTTTGAAACATTTTATGAACAGTACATTTCATATTTGAGCAAAGAGAAAATATATTCAGATCTTTTTGTTTGAGGAAAAATTTTAAAAAACTTTACTTAATACCTACACTTGTAAATACAAAGGGATGTTGAAAACCTCTCAGTTAAACCCACTTCCCAAAAATCAGTCTTTCAATGACAAAACATAAAAAATAAAAAAAATTTTAAGTGTGGTATGAAAAAACTTGAGAAACGATATGCTAAGTATGTTTAACTTTGGGGTGGAATATATGGAATAACATATAGATTTCATAGATTGCTTGGGCTGAGATATTTTCAACCATTATATATATATATATATATATATATATATATATATATATATATAATGGGATTGAAGCCCAAACAAGTAGAATGACCTAGAACCATGAAATCTATATGTTATTTCATTCTGTATATATATATATATATATATATATATATATATGCATGTTTCATTAAATAATATAGACAAGTTTTGTCTATTTCCTTTCAAAACTTGTCTATATTATTTAATGACAGACAATATGAAAGGAACTTACTTAAAATAAATAGTCAAAACTTGTCTATATTATTTAATGAAAAATTGCTGCCTAAATACACACACATATATATATATATATATAACACCATATATCTCATATACAATAAATATAAATGATAATAAAAAAAATGTGCTCTCCTGCATTTATTAAGTTTCTTGAATGTGTATGCCAGTAGACATATTTCACATTATTAATAAAAAACACTGTTTCTATTTAAACATGTATATGCTAAAATAAAAAATTTACTAATAAAAATAATATTGGATAAAAAAAAATCATTAATTCCTTAGAAATATACTTATATATGTAAGTATGAGCTGAAATGTTCTCAGCCCTACCCACTTCTCAAATTCAGTATTTCAATGCCCAAATATCAATATTTGTCGGGGAGAAGGGTTGACGGAAAAAAACTTCACAAACTATGTGCCAAGTATGTTGAACTTTAAGGGGGAATATATGGAATAACATATACATATTGTGGCTCTAAGTCCTACTTGGTTTGGCTGGGAACTTACTCTCACAAACATGCATTGAAATTTGGAAAAACAAATAAATAAATAAAAGTTAAAATAAATAAATTACTGAATTGGCAATCTACTAACCTTCAGCTTCATGACATTAATAACCTTTTTGGCTTTCTCCATCACATCAGGGTGAGGATCAGTGGAAAGAACAAGTAAAGTGCGCCACACACTCACATAGACATTATTCACCACAGAGGTGCAAGTTGATAGGTTTGAGCTAGATGATGTGCGGCGGATACGATCTCCACTACTGATCACTGTGCCTCCTACCACACCTGTAGACCCAATGCCAGGGTCTGGAGTAGCCAGGCCTTCCAGGTTTGATATGCTGTTGCTACTTGAAAGACCATGACCTAATGTTTATAAAATTCCACAAGAAACAAAATGAATAGCTTAGAGAAAAGAGATTTAATCACAGAAAGAAATTGGAAGGAAGGATATAGACAAAAAATATTAATGTATATAAGCAATAATTGCAAGTGATTCCCGAAATCTAATGCATGCATAAAAAATATTACAAACAGAAATCAGATATTTAAACAACGTCAAACATTTATACTACACAACAGAAAAGGTAAATATCTAAAACACAAAGGATTTGTGTATTCAACCATTGGTTCCTTTCCACTGACTGAATATTTCACCTGAGAGGAAAAAAAAAAAAAAAAACACTAAAAAATGCAAAATAAAAATAATCCAATTTTAAAAATACATTTAATATACAGGTTAAGAAAAAAATGAGAAAAAAAAATAGTTATGCAAGATTCACAAGCCGAATCATCATCTAATTTCAAAATTCCAATACAAACCAAATTGCTTGCTGTTAGATCCGTGGTTCCATTCTTTATGAACAAACTTAAATACAAACCATTGTCTCTCCATGAGGTCATGAATCCAAAGCTGAAACCCACAATAATCACAATATCATGCTTCTAAATCTGTTAGACATCTAGAAGTTAGGAACTTGGGTCATTTTTACTAATATAGCATCAATGTTAGTAAGAAGAAAGTAGCATGATTTAAAATCAGCAAAACCCAATACTACAAGTCTCAAATGAGAAATAAGCTACAAAGATAGAGAAGGGAAAAGTCATAACTGATAAGACTACAGCAAGAGAATGTCTAAAAACAAGAGTTACCAAGCAGTAGAGTATATCAAATCTCATTCTGCAAGCTTTCTAAAAACAAATGTTAACCAACTACATTTATTTTACTTTCATTATTAGTCAAATGAAAATACACGCTAACTTCTTCCTCTTCCTTGAATAATAGAAATATGCACCAGATTTCACGTTGAGCTTACAGTGAAGTTTCATCATCAACAGGTTAGAAAATTAAGCAGTAGATGGCCACGGTAACAAATGACATGTGGAAGAAAATTTTCAAGTTGCATAGCAAAAAACGATGCGTAGAGATGGAGTGACACGAGATGCCTGATGAAGAGCCAATTGGGGCTACTTACGAGTGGCCATATTTTTGAGACTGCCGCGGGAGGCACTACGTTTCATGCCAGGAAGAGGGAGTGTCAGGTAGCCATCTAAAACAGAAGAAACAAGATCTGAGAACAACCAGAATGTAGTAAGGTGGGGAGCTGCCCCTACTCAACACATATGGTCAGTTCTACAGATGACAAGGTTCTATTATGCAAGGTACATCCATCAAGTTGGCTGTTTGCATAACGACTACCCAAGCAAGGGGAAGACACAAGCCACAGGATGATGAGGATGATGTCAATGCACTGAATGATAAGAAGAATATGACAAGATGCTGTGGAAACAAATAAATAGTAAGAAACAAAAGAAAACAAAAGGAAGCAGAACAAAATTCAATGAAACAAAATTCTTTTTAAAGTGTGTGTGTGTGTATATATATATATATATATATATATATATATATATATATACACACACACACACATATAAATAAAGGGCGGATAAAATGCTGCCACATACACTAATGCAAAATGAACATGCAAGAAACAACTGGTAACATCTTGATAAGAATTGTTAGGTAAATTCAGTCTAATTTGTAACTGATTTGATATTAGGCTGTAGAATGAAAAATAAGTACAAAACATTCAGACACTTTTTTTAATACAGAAAAATAATCATAAAAAAAATAGATAAAATTAAGAGCTCTAGCTTCATTGATTTTAATAGGATGGAGGCATTTAAAAACAATGAGAAATATTTTAATACTGAATTTTCATTATGGTTGCTTTTTAGGAAAATAGACCTATCAAGGTGTGTAATGACATTTTAGGGAGTAATTAGTAGATGGTGATGATTAGAAAATTACAATATTAAAGAAGTCAATTGTCCACCTATAATTATATACAATATAAAATGTGCTGGAAGTATAAATTACTCAGATCAGTAATAGAATGGGAAAAAAAAAAAGAGATCACCATGATTTAGTGGAACAAATGTGACTTTAATCTTCATGTCAAATGGATTGTATATATTACTAATTGTACATACAATGTTATGGCTGACAAAAAAAAAAAAAAAAAAAACACTGTCCTCATATGTCAAAAGAAAAACACAATTTCAACACTAATATTTCAATAAGTGGGCATCAATACATTATCAAATTGTATTATGCAAGTCAATATTTTTACAATAAAATGGGTAAAAATTTCAAGATATATAATACATGTACCATGTGTATTTCAGTTTATAATATCGGTTTTTATCAAAAATAGTTACAATAATATTTTGTGAAATGAGATTATGCATATCAAATGTTGTTCTTTATATTGTAAATAAATATATATGATTGTATGTATAGTTATTGATATTTTTTTAATTTCAAATATATAAAAATTGTCAAGGGTTGTAAGAAAGCTATAATCTCAAAAAAAACAAAAGAATATGATATTGTAAAGTTATTGAGTGATGGAGACACAATAATGGAAATTACAAAAAGTTAAAAATTACCAAACAATAAAAAAAAAAGAAATTGAACACATTAGCAAGAACAAGAAATGTCACAAAGAGATTTGAAAAAAAAATTTAAAAAGTAATAAGAAAAATAGATTGACTGGTAAGAAACTATTTGAAGCTGGTGTTGCAAATGTAAACAGAGAGACCCAATGCAGATAAAGACATGAGAACTACATTGATTGAACCTGATGGTGAGGTTAGAGATTCAAACCCTTCCTGGAAATACTCAACCAACAGGATTTAGAAGACAGTTTGGTTGGGGAAGTGGAGTACTGTTTTGGGCTAGTATTGTATGCAGTAAAATTACAGATCCTTTTAAAGCTGATAATAGCATCAAGATAAATGCAGAGAATTACTTAGACAAGATGATTTTTTTTTAAAGTAGTACAGGTCACAACTAAGTTTTAAGCTGAAGAGTATGTTCATGTAAGACAATACTTCTTCATTCTACAAAGCTGACTGTTGCCCACCTTGTCCCAAAAGATACCAAATTAATAAGATGTTCCCTCATCTCTCTAGATATCAAATAGAAAACAATACTCAAACAAATAAAAGCAATAACTGTTGCAAATAATGTTATGGTTGAAACAATAGAAAAATTTAAAATCAATGACTAAAAAAACTGATGAGCTCATTGGACTTCTATAAGAAGTCCAATGAGCACATTAATATGTAAACTAATACAAATTTATTCAAGTATATAAGATACTGTGTTAATCAAATGTTTCTATGGTATATATATCTGTTGGATTTATCTATAAAAATTTATGCTGCACTTTGTTTGCATAATAAAACCTGACACTCCCAAAACAAATTATTCATATTTTTAATAAGGATAGATATTATAAGCTGAAAGTTACATGATAAATGTATTCTGAATATTTTATCAACATTAGTTAGTTGATACAAATGAAAACATTGACTTGCATAATAAAATATGACATAGTATATACTATCAATACAAGTGCTTAGGTTTTTCTTACAGGACTTACAGGCTACAAGGTAGCAAGTATAAAAGATAATAATCAGCCTAATTATTTAAACTGAAAAAATTAATATAATAGAAAAAAACTTATGCTAAAGGTTAAGCTGAGCATTCCCAGTAAGAGAAAAAAAAAGGTTCTGTGTAGTGATACTAGATTTTAATAAAAAGAAACTTTCAGAATATTTCAATTTTGGTCCAAAGAATACAAGCTGACATAATAGTACCTAACATTAATTTGTCCAACTTTGTATGGGTCACAAGTGGGTTCTTGGGTACAATGGGAAATAATATGATTTACAAGTGATTGACTTGGACTTACAGTATGATTCCAGCTAAATCCTAACATAACATCAAAACTTGAGAAGTATACAAAACCATGGAATTTGTATATTCTTAATACAATTTATGAACAATAGAATACCACCTGATTAAATATGCTAAATAAACTTAGCAATCATTTTTAAGTCTAATTAATCACTAGCTTCAAAACAGTCTATTCAGACAGCAGTTATTATGACAAACTATTTTCATGATGCTATTTAATAAGAGAAATAAAACTAGTCATGCATGAATCAATAGTCAACCTCCATTTCTATACTACCAAAACAGTTTATCTTTATTCAGTTACTATGACATACATTAATAATTTGTGTCACTGCATGTTGGACATTTACAGAACTTAAAAAGGTGAATATGGACTGAAACCAAAGTTCAAACATTAAAAGGAAAAAAACTGAAAAAAGAAAATGAAATGAAACAATGTAATAAAAATAATATTTAAATATGTCCTAAAAGTTAAAGTTAAGTGGATGAGCATAAGCAAATAAAAATAGTACAATCCATTTTAATTTTCTGAAGACTTGCACATAAAGGATTCAATACTTTCATAATGTAGTGGTATCAATTAGGCATTGAATGATCTGCTCTTAAAATATAATAACATGCACACTATTTGTAAAATTGTTGCATGTGAGAAATAAAAAGTGATAGAAAAAAAATAGGATTTCATGAGTATACTTTGTAAAAAAAAAAAAAAAAAAAGAAAATACCACAAAAGTGAGTGCAGCAAGGCAAATCATGTGTAAAATATTTAAAGACTATAAAGAAAGATTAAGGGAAACTATTCATAAGTAATCTATAACTAAGTGATTTGTATAAAAACCATTACAAGCACGGGAAATAGATCTCTGATTGGGGGGAGAGGGAATTATTTCACCCCAAAGCAAGGTTGAAAAGCAACAAAGATACAAGGGGGTTACTGAGAGTGGGAAAAAAAATGAGAAAATATAAATTTAACATCTAAAACTGTCATTATAAACTTTTAAAGACTGTTCTCAGAGGACTCCAAAGAGGCTTGATATAATGATACTGAAAGTAGGATACAAAGACAAAAATACAACCTTATATGATGGACCCATTGTGGATTGACAGTTAATATCAGAATATGACAAAAAAAGTAAATATGCACAGTTCCACCATTTAAAAGTGACATGACAAATAATATGAAACTTACTTAATATCCTCAGTTTCAAATACTGTGTGTTAGTGGAAATGGAAGAGTTTCTGGCCTGATTAAGAAACCATTAAAGAAATTGTAAAAAAAAAAAGAAAAATTGGCCACATTTGACCAAATTTCATGAAGTCAGCCAGCCAGATAACTTTTTAGCATCCCCTCATATAAAACAGATAATCAAATTATGCGATTATAAATTTTGGCATGGTGCTTTACATAGCAAATGTTTCTGCATTGTGTTAGTTGATATTTTATTCATGGAAGTTTACAAGGTGGTGCTGAAAAGTTATCAACCAGATGCACTTCTGAAAATCTGGCCAAGAACCAGGATTTGGGGGAAGTGGATGAGTTAAAAATCCTTTAGTACCCCCTTATACAGAGACAGACCTAATGCATGATGATAGTGTTACTTGGACAGACTGTCTTTCTCTCTTACTAAACTCACAGTAATATTTACCTTAAAGCAGTTTAATATGTAAAAAAAAAAAAAAAAAAAAAAAAAGATAATATTAACAAGTTACAAGTTTTGTTAAAAGTCCCCATAATTGCAACTGCTTATTTTTTCAATTACATTACCAAATATAATAGTTGATTATGTCCTTAGCTGTTGGTACATAACTATTTTAAGCAAGCATCTGGACTATTTAACCCATACACACTACTTCAATTACAATCTTGGCATAAAGGCAATCATTACTTCAGTTTCAAGTAATTTAACTTCTCATATTTTACCATATTTTATTTCAATTTGGAAAGCTCTTAAAACTCTTTAATTATCTGAATTTCATCAGCCAAATTTTCTTAGTAAATTCCTTGACAACAACAAAATGACTGGTAAATAATTACTTCAGCTGATACTACATTAAAAATATTTTTAAAAGTTAATATATAAAAATATTCCTATGCATTATTGTACAGTGCTTAAAAAATAACTTTGAAATAATTGCTGATGATATTGTTGACACACATGCAATAAGCTAATCAGAAATATTGAAAATCAATGTGATTTTACTCTTTTCTTTGTATTTAATTTCTAGAATCTTTTTTCTTTCATTATTTTTTTTAGCTTTTACTGTGTCCCTGAATAATAATATAAAATTATAGAAAAACAAATC